CCTATAGATGCAGCTAGAGCAAAGGTCAGTGGATGATTCAAATCTAAAGAAGTCATCCATGTTCATGTACTCAGTAAAATTCATCAGATTATTGCTGATTGTATTTGGATGTTCTTAGTTTTAGTTTTGTCCTGGTGGTGAGGGTACTAGATTAAGAGTGATAAATCATCCTTTAAAATCTAATATCAAAAAGAAGACAAAAAGGCTGATGGACATTAGCAAGTTGAATGTCATCTGCATATAAAGCACCAGGAATTGATTTCGGGAAGTTCTTGATCCAGGACACTCACAATAAAGGTGCAGTGTGTTGGATTTAGTGGCATCTAACAGTGTAGTTGCCGACTGCAACCCCCTCGCCTCACCCTCCCATTCCAAGCATGTAGAAGAAACTACGGTGGCCAAGAAAAACACAAAAGGCCCCATCTGTAGCCAGTGTTTGGCTTGTCTGTACTACAGGGCTACTGTAAAAACATGGTGGTTCAACATGGCCGACTCTGTGGAAGAGGACTCGCTCCCTCTAAAGATAAAAAATGTCTTATTCAGAGGTAACAAAAATTATTCTTACTTGCAGATGATTATACACTGACATACTACTTGTTAATATTATATTTATTTCTGCCTCCTAAATGTTAAACACGTGTAAAAAAAAAAAAAAAAAAATTAAAACAAGACAAATACAAATGTTAATATAGAAGTATAGAATATATAAAAGATGTATTTTATGTTGTTACATAAGCTAAACATCTCATTCATGTAACAGTTTGTCAGGAGGTCAAAAAGATCTAGATTTATCTAGAAAAAAAGCATAAAATGAATGAACAAATTAACAATAACTAATAATGTTGCTAAACACATTGTAAAAACGTATTTATTCAAATCTTCAGCTTTTTTCCCCACAATAATATGTCATCTTTTATCTTTAAGTCTTATTTTACTGAATATTTAAGCCCAGTCCAAAGTGTGCAATAGATCCACTGATCCAGTGTCATGTTTCTCTAAGTTGATCTTTAACTAAACCTAACCAAACCTAACCAACGTAATCAAGCTTTATTTTGAAAGTGTAACCATAAGTTGCATGTATTATTGCTAACTTGACCGTGAAATGAGAACGTGTTGAAAACGGGACACTGCCACTCTGGCGTGTGTGTATTATATGCATTGGGGTGTTCCCAGGTTGAATATTTACCAGTGACGGTTTTATTTAGAAATATAACGAAATTTACAATTAACATTTGTCACAAATTAAAAAAAATTCTGAACTGTCTTAAAGCTTCCCACTCACTTTCTGTTCTTCTATAATGATTACTTGTTTAGTTATGATCATGTCATTTTGTTTTATATACAACTATGTATACTGTTTGGTTTGGCCTATTGACAACATTTAAATTCAAATATCTATAACGTACAACATATCAGACATTGCCAGGGATACAACAGTAAAGTCATGGACTTTCGTTGTTCCTATTGTTTTCACTGTCCACCAACCTTTTATAAAGATGCAGGGAGGCATTACTGTGGTGACGATGCTGCAGACGAAAATGAGAGAGAGAAAGTCGATGCTTGTTGTCACATCACGTCTGAAAAAATTCACCTCATCTTAAACAAAGAAAACAGCCACACACTCATATAGACCCTGTATACAGTTATACAGTATACAGTTTTGTTTAGCCTGTCCCAGTTTTTACCAGGTCACTGGGTCTTTTCTGCATTCAAAGCCTAAATATGGAAATATGACGAGGATTATAACATGGCAGCAATTCAGGACACACACACACACACACACACACACACACACACACAGTCAGAAACACAACTGCATCGTCATGCACATGCAGATATGGAAATATTTAGACCCAAGACACTAAACACAATGCATAAAAAAACGCTTTCTCAGAAACACCTTCACACATGCTCATAACACATTTATATCACACTTCTCCTCTCTATGCCAGTCCATCTGCCTCAGAATCTTATTCTTTATGTGTAAAAGTGAGGGACATATGGTTATGGATTACACAGATTTGTGCATGAAGAACCAGAATTAGCATGTAGCACACTAGCGGTGAGCATTTTATTAAATGGAGTCAGTGAGTGCAAAATAATAACATCCCACTGGGCACAGCGGAGATTTATGTTCCTCCGTTATTGTCTCATATTTTGTGGAGAAACGCACTGAAATTGTACATTGATGGTTTCCAAAAGCGGAGACAATAACTAAGAGAGCAGACTTTGTGTCTTTGCAAATGGACACTGTCTGAGAGCGGGTGTGTACTCTCATCGCTGTGTGTGTGAAAATGTGCATTAGTGTGACTGTAACGCTCACAGAGCCGCGCTGTTGCCATGACAACGCTACAGGCAAAGTGGGTCAGCAGGCTCCTGCCACACCCCTGTTGGCATGGCAACAAGGCTGGTCAATTAAACCTGAGCAGCACGATGACTCACACACACACACACACACAAACCCCTTTCTGTGCAACAGGGAGGTGAAGGAGGGAGGCAGTGTGTGTGTGTGATTCTCTTTATCTTTCTCTGGCTTTCTGTAGGATTGCAGCTCGGTCTGCATGTAGGCTTCAGTGAGTCAGTGAGGCTGACTGTGTGCTTAATTTGAAGACTGTGTGTGTGTAGGCCTATGTGTTCAAAATAGAGACTTTTGAATTGAAAGCTTCTGATATCATTATTATTGTTATGATTATTATAATTCCTGCATAGGCAAGTGCTGGATGGAGCTTGGTGAGCAGCAGTAGAGATCACAACTGGCTGTGATAGGCAGACACACCTGTCGTTCAAGAAAAGAAGTCCCAAAATACACCTCTTCTTGTGGAAAACTATTACTGTGTATTTTTGTTCTAAAAGTTGGGATTTTTTTGAATACATTTCAAAACAGTTAAGAGATTTTGGTCGCATCTAGAAGCACTTTAATTTCAGACACATCCACAGAGATTTTGCCAGGCACATGTAGTGCTTGCTGCTTGATTAAACCCAATGACCTCAACCCTGCCCTCAACATTTACTCTAATTCTCTCCTGCATATGCTTGTCTGCGAGACTGATCAGTTAAACACATTAAATCTACTTATTTACCTATTTGCACTGTTCTAGTTGTACTGGAGACATAATGTAAAGGTGTGTTTATGTTCAATAGTGGAAGTGCAGGAGGAAAACCTTTCTATACCTGAAGAGGACATTAACGTTGACGTGTTTTCAAGGGGAACACATTGACATGAACGCGGACATGTGGGCTGTTCTCTGTCCTCTTCACCGTGGTCTATTCTAAAAGAGGAGAGATTAGCCTTTATCTGGCAGCAACTACAGTAAATCACAGTCACAAAGGCGGCCACACAAGTGAGTCATTTTGAAATGCCTGAATTGTTGGTGCATCATTCACAGCCACTGCACAATTATGTAACATGGCAGGTGAAGAACTCTAATTAAGCACATCGACACGGGAGGATGGCAGAGAAATAGACAGAGCGATCACAAGTAAATCTTCACCAGCACTGACTGGCAGACACTGAAAGATCGCATTAGCAATTAAGGATCTGGTCCATCTAGATTTATCTCCAAGTAGCCGGCAGGTTTATATGATTGAAATCAGCTCCGTCACAATGCATTCTTATACAATACATGCTCTATTGTAATTCCACTAATGTCTCCTGCCCGGGATGCTTTTAAAGTGCTGTAAAGTGTGTTGGTAGAAACTGTATAAAGTCTCTGTGTACAGTAGAAGGATTTATGTTTGTCTGTGTAGCTTTCTAATAATGTAAAGATGCTTTGGATATGCCCCATCAAAACTGCTAATATTTCTGTAACTGAGAATATTTTTTCTTCTCTCCTAATCATGTAAGTTATGAAAGTAGTCCTCTCACAGAGTGCACTTTACAAGATAAAGGGTCAGTTCACTCAAATGAAAAACACATTTTACCTTTATCAGTATCAAGCCAACACATTCTCCCAACTCCCAACTCGTCAAATATGGCAGCTTGGCCAGTGCCCCTATGCCTTAAAATATGATGCTCTAGGTACCGCTCAAGGGTAATTTCTGGAAATGCAGGGCTCAGTAGTCAGGTTAGCAATAATAAATGTTCGGTTAGACTTTCAAAATTAAGCTTTAACATTGTGAAACAGTCGCAATTTGGTTAGGTTTAAGCACTAAAATACATGGCTAGGTTTAGGAAAAGCTCATAAGTTAAATAACAAACCTAAAGTAATACGTTACATGAGGTAACTTATGTAGCCTATGTAACTATAACGAAGTCAACGTTTACTTTTGGTTTCACACGAGACACGATCAGCAGTCTCCTGAGTCTACCATCCTATCTCATCCATATACAGGGACTTTCTTGCTCTTATACTACATCACCAGACTTCAACGGTATATCGAAACATATGCTAGAGGGGTACCTACAGCGTAATAGTTTAAACCGCAGGGCCACTGACCAGGCCCTCTAGCTGAGGTTTGGTTTTATGTGACCGGGTTTTGATATCCTGCCTCCATCCTAATATAGTTGGAGTGAATGGAATTTTGTTTGTGGTGCTTGCAGCACAAAAAATTTACAAGAGAAGTATTTAAAAAAAGTTGTGTCTCAGTTGCCCTGGTTTAAACTACAGAACAAGCTGTCGACAGTTAAAAAGGGACTAATTCCTCCATGAAATGATGGAAAGTACTGTTCTCACCAGCCTTCTTGCCTCACCTCTTTGATTGCCCCACGGTGTAATTGAAACAGCCTGGGGAGCTGTAGGAAGGTACAGGAGCTATGCTAGAAATTTCCCCTGCTTTTATTCTTGAAGCTAAACTAAGCTATAAGAATGTTGGCACGTTCCTGGAAAGTAAGCCACTTCTCTGAGCTGTGCCTAACTTGTACATGTTTCATATCATCATTACCATTGTGTATACACTTCTCCATCAGCATTCTGAATTATCTGAATAGTACGTATAAGCATTCTGCTGTTATCATCCTGTTGAATATGTTAAAGATGCTCTGTCTCTTTGTGTACATTTAGGCTGTAAGGAGTGCTGTGAGCGATGTGTAGGCAGCCTGCCCTGGGCCTCTCTCATCGCCACTATCCTCCTCTACATGGGCGTGGCCTTGTTCTGTGGGTGTGGCCACGAGGCTTTAAGCGGCACCGTCACCATTCTCCAGAACTACTTTGAAGTCATCAGAGCCCCGGGAGAAACCCTGGATGTCTTCACCATGTGAGTGACTTGATTTACCTTCATTTTCATTTTCAATATTAAAGGACCGTGGACGAAGATTCAGGCTCTGAAAGGGGGTTAAACCTGCATTCTTTCTAATGGCCAGCAGGGGGTGACTCCACTGGTTGCAACAACAACAAAAAATTGTATGGACGTCTATGAAAAAATTACTACTTGTCACTTGATTTATTAGCTACTTTAAGGTCTCAATCTCTAGTTTCAAGCATTGATTTTGTCAGAAAGCAGACATCATGCATGTACACTTTAAACATTACAATTTAATGCACCACTGAGCCAGCTGAATCAGACACTTATTTCTCATATCTTTTCAAATGTTTGACTTAATAAATCTCTTTGACGGTTTAGACCCAAACAACCCATTCTCACTCCCAAGTCGTCAATTTCTGCCGCTTGGTCAGTGTCCTTCTACTTCAAAATATTCAAATTCAGGTGATGTAGTATAAAGAGCCATGAAGTATGCATAGGGAGGTAGTGGGGTTGATGGACGGAATACCCCAGGAGACTGCTGTTCATGTCACATGTGAAACCATAAGTAAATAATTTCTTTATAGTTATATTGAGTACGTTATGTTATTGATGTTTTATGTGTTAACTTATAATCCTTTCCTAAATGTTACCATTATAACAACAACATTAACTGCTCTCTTAGCTTTATTTCTATATATAAATTGCATATTTATTGTTGCTTACTTGACCACTATATTGAATCATACCCCCTGTATCGTGATACGTATCGTATTGCCAGATTCTTGCTAATACACAGCCCTACTTGTGAGTGAGAATGTGTCTACCCAAAATACTTACAGTGCTTATGCCTATTTCTGAAAAATCAAGACTAAAATAGGCAAGATGATTCAAAGAAAAACTGTTCAAACTGACCCAATTCAGATATATATGGAAGCCTATTTTGCCACCATACATTTTTTTCTTTTTTAGTCTTTTTAGTCTAACTACTATATGTCATAATCATGACAAAGCTCATCATTTTCAGATATATAGTTATGTGTTTTTTTCCAAATGTCAGAAATGTCCCAATCCAAAGGCCTGTGTGATGAACACAAAGCACACTGAGTTTTCAGTCCCTCATGCAAATAAATTTGAAAGGAATTGGACAAATGTTAAAGTAAGTAATCTGAACATAAGTAGTCTGGTAGCCCCGCCTGCTGCCCCAACTGCCTCCATCCAGGCTCGCCCTCCATCCTCGCTTATTATCTCTGACTTTTTTATGGCAATTACACAGGGTGAACTCCAAGTAACACCTCAAGATGCAGTCTAGTATGTAAATAAACAAATAGTCATTAATCACTGACACTGTGGTTGTGTGTGTTCTCTCCACAGTATCGACATCCTGAAGTACATCATCTACGGCCTTGCAGCTGGATTCTTTGTGTTTGGAGTGCTGCTGCTGGTGGAGGGCTTTTTCACCACTGGAGCCATTAGGGATCTTTATGGAGAGTTTAAGATCACTGCCTGCGGACGTTGCCTGACTGCATTCGTAAGAAATCTTTGTATTTAATGTAATATACTGACATTTTAAATTGTATAGTCACACTTTCAGAGTACTTGAAGCTAGATGTTTTTAGGTAGTTGGCAATAATTTATTATGGTGTCAAAGGAGGGTAGTATTATATTTTATAATATTTTTCTTCTTGTCAACAAATACCATGGAAAGACCAAAAACCAACAATAGCTTGATCCTACAAACAAATATCATCTTATTCCTCTGTGTCATATAGCTCTGTTGTTGTCTAAACACTATTAAAAACACTCTCCAGAGCACCAAATGTGGGTTATTCCACAGCTGAAAATATTCCCAGACAAATGTACTATTTTCTTCAGTTTTAGTAACATTTGCTAAAAACTACAGTAACAGCTCTTATAGGAAAAAAAATTCGTAAAACAAAAACAAACATAAACACATATTTGAGCACCATTTTTAAAGATTTACATTTACAGTAGGAACTAACAGGCTTGTCGCTCAGATCCACAGAGAGGGTTGGGACATCAGAAGGTATTAGGAAATGATACATATTGCTGGTTTTGGTATTTCCACAGGAAAAATCTACTGGCCAACGTTACATCCTGATAAAGTGATACCTTTGCGTTGTCATTCATAAAAACACATTATTATTAAGATGGCCTCATAATAAGACTTCTAGAATAATATTTCAATTGTGAAAAGTTTATTTTTTTTACAGATGTAGTCGACATTGTAAAAATGCATAATGTGAGCAAAATTAACAGATGTTGCTAATGTATGACCAACGCTCCATCAGAGTGGCTACGAGTTAATAAATACTTATTTTATTCACTCAACAATCTGTGACATATTAACAGTAGTAGTGGAGCTGGTTAGGTTTTAATGTCTATCTTTGCACATATTGTATTGTATGGTATTGTATTGTATTTCTTGTTGTTCCAGTTTCGATAAAATGTAATAAAGACTAAAAAAATACTCTATTCCTGTTTTTGCTGGGGACCCCACTCAAAGACCCCAGTTTGAAAACCACTGCTATATACTGTACAGTATATTATATGGTGATGATGTTAGACAGCTCAGCGAACATGGACGGAGAGTGTTTCTGAGAAGTAGATACATTTTGGAACAAAGACTGACCATACTCAATACATCAGTCTGACAGATCTCTCAGCAGTTATTCCCTGAAATATTTTATTTTATTTTAAATGTCTCTTAGTCAGGTCTGATTCATGCGGAGGGAGACAGAGAGAGAGATTAGGCATTGTCCACATCTGCTGAGGACATTTTCCCCCTCACATCTGTAGCTCTGTCTGTGCAAAGCTAAAAGGCAAAAGATAGAGGAGCAGAGAAAGGGTAGTCAGTTGTATAGAAGGTGTTTTTATGTCTCAGTGTGAAATGATAGAGAGAATTGACACAATTAGCATAACACTCAATGCATCACAGACGGCATAAATTTAATTTATAAACTGCAGGTGTTAATGTGAGCAAAGAAACCTTGTAATTTTTGCATAATTTGTATAAATAAATGAGTGAATGTCATTAAGCCACACCTGTTTGTCTTCAGTCTGGAACACCTAAGTGTTTTTAAGGAGGTTAAATAACTCATCATCCACTCTGCCACTCGCTGTGTCTTGTCTCTCTGTTTGCAGCTGATGTTCCTCGCCTACCTGTTCTTCCTGGTGTGGCTCGGAGTGACGGCATTCACCAGCCTGCCGGTCTTCATGTACTTCAACGTTTGGTCCATGTGTCAGAACACCAGCTTGGTGGAGGGAGCCAACCTCTGCCTGGACCTGCGTCAGTTTGGTATGTGCCGTCATAACGTCTCTGCGTGTGTCCTATCTGAGTTTAACATCTCTGCAATATGTTGTGTAATGGTCTTCAAGTTATATCAGTTGATGGTCTTTACCTGCAGTATGTTTGGCATAAGAAAAACAATTCTGACAAAAGGGGTACAGAATCTTATATCAGGGTTCCCACATGTTCTGGAAAACCTGGAAATTTAGTCTTGTTTTCCAGTCATGGAAACACCTGGAAATTGATTAAAATAACCAAATATCCTGGAAATAATTTATGTTGTCCTGGAATTTTTTTATTATATTTTAGACTGTGCTGTGGTCAAATTAATGTTACGATTAGAAAGCTACAGTCAATAGACCTTTCTCACAGCAGCAGGTAACACCTGTGATTACTCTGACTATTTCATGTTGAATGGCTGTTGTGAAAAAGGTCTATTTGGAAAGCGGAAAAATCGGCTGTTGTGAGAATAGCCAAGCACGCCAGGAAAGCGAACACCCATAAACGATAAGCACCTATGGCTGACCACCATTTGTGAGCACCTGCTGTCCTGTATTATCAAGGAGAACTCCTGGAAAATGTCCTGAAAAGATCCTTGAAAAACAATTTAAAAAAGGGAAGCCTGTATATGCCACAGACTGCACAAAGAGTGCTTTTTATGTTGCAGTCAAGTTACACTTTAATTCAACAGCACGGAGAGGACAGACAGAAGCATCTATCTCCCTTGGCTTTCATGCTTGGTGAACTTTGACCTGCTTTTGAGGAGACCCATTTGTCTACTGTGCTGCTGTGGCCTGAGAGCCGTTGCCCATATTGATCTGTGTTGGATGATATCGCTCAGATCACAACTGTAAGTTATACATTTTAAAAGAAAAATCTCTTTTTCGTCACTTTGGGCTTTATTAAAGTGGAAATGGTTTTCTTAATATCCACAGTTCAGCCTTTTACAGTCTGCATCTTGCTCTTGAAATAGCGGCAGTGAAGAAATAAAAGGTCCTCTTAATCCTTAAGTTTTTCACACTGTCCGTATAACACACACTGTGCATATCCTCCCTCCGCTTAGTGCAGGCAAGTTGATGGAGACTCACCAAAATGCCAAACTGGCACACACGATGGAAAAAACCTGTGTGTGTGCGGCAAAATTGCCAGATTACCAGTAGAAAGCCCACAGTGAGCCATGTGCCACAATGAACCCAGAATCTCTCACCTGCTCACAATGGCTAATTCAGATGAGCTAACCTAGATGTTATTAGTGGATAAATGACAGAAAATTAAATTAAAATTAAAATCCTTTCTGTCCATTGGTGATGAATGACCGATGGACAAAAGGCCATAGACGCATTTGTTTTTTCCAGACTAGAATACTGCAACTCCTTGTATTGCTGTCAGAAGCAACTATACGGCTACAGTTGGTTCAGAATTTGGCTGCTGGGCTTCTAACGGGCATTAAAGGTCTAGTGTGTGGGATTTAGGGTCATCTACTGGTGAAGTTACAGATTGTAACCAACTGAACACCGCTCGCATCTGTATTTGACAACTTGTGAATGAGAATGTGCTGTTAAGTGTGTAGGAGAAACTACGGTGGCCATGAAACTCGCAGGGCCTTTCAAACGCAAAAGGCCCAATCTAGAGCCAGTACTGGGTAAACTGTAGAAACAAGGTGGTTCAGCATGGTGGACTTCATGCAAGGCCACCTGCAGCCTCTGTAGAAGGTCCGTTCAATATACATTTATGTGCATACCCGTAATGAAGCACGTGTACACATACACACATACTGTATGTGTACATGCGTGTATTTATATTCTGTATTTCTATTTGTGTGTTTATGCATGTATATATTTATGTGTCTTACTGTATATACATATTAACTTTATCACCCTTTTTCTGTTTGTACTACTTCACTGCCATATTATTATTATTAGTATATTGTTAAAAGCTGATACACTTTTAATATCCTTTTTATTGTTTATTATTACCTTTTTTTTGTCTTGTGAAGCATGCTGTGACATATGTTTTGTACTATATAACATTATTATTATTATTATTATTATTATTATTATTATTATTAGTATTAGTGTTAGTATTAGTATTAGTATTATACAGCCCTGGACCCTTATATAGAGCTTTTCTAGTCTACTGACCACTGAAAGCACTTTTCAACAATCACACTCTGATCCATGTCGCTTTATTCACAAAAATTTAAGTTGGAGTAACTGCCGTTCACAGAGCAATTATAAACAAAAAGGGTTTTTAAAAAGTCCAAAAATGTACAACAGAGGACTCACTGATATTGAGAGATAACAAATATAACCAGATAAATAAGCCACATTAATTTGTAATGTAGAATATAATGTTTAATTTTCACAACACCTACACTTGAGAATGATTCACTTTTACCACGTGGGACCTTATACAATACATACTACGTCTCAACCAGATATTCTAATGGTTATGTATTATTTCAAATGATGCGGTCACAGCTCTGTCCACCATGTTGTTCTCCAGGATGCCCACATAAAAGCAAAAGACACACACCGAGAGAGTCTCTTGCAGTGCTGCCATCTACTGGTCGTACAGCCTGTATCTAATAAACATTCAGCATGGGGAATCATTACTCTGTTCATAAAGTTTTGGATTTAGTGACAATTTCACTGTGAGTGCACCAGCAGCACACTGTGGTTATACTGGGCAGTTCCCAGTGGCCAACAGTGCAAGACCAGTGAGGCATTAATATCTGTCTGTTTCAATGAAGTACATCCAGAGATTCTTTCAGTCATATCCAGAGGTTCTTCGCTATATTCATCAGCAAAGTATGGATGGGTAAAGAGAATAAAAAGTCTGTTTTTGATGTTTCTGCTTATCAGGAGCCGTTACAATCTCTGAGGAGAGGAAGGTGTGTACAGGATCTGAGAAGTTCTTCAAGATGTGTGAATCCAATGAGGTAAGAGGAGACATAATTTGAAGTCAAATACAACGATTTGTGACCCGCATCGAGACAGCTGAAAAATCCACAATCCACTTGTGTTGTGTGTTACAGCTGGACTTGACCTTCCATCTGTTCGTGTGCGCACTGGCAGGAGCGGGAGCTGCTGTCATCGCCATGGTGAGGACCGTTATACTCATACTGATTGGCTACGGGCCTGCAGTACTAATTGGTACTGATTGGTGTGACACTGTGAAACCTGTGGTTCACTGGTGTTTTTTTTCTTGTTGTATGTTCTTTCTTTTTCTTTATAAGTGTAAATGATAGAAATAGGCCTCATTTTCAAACCCACATAGAGGGAGACAGAGAGACGCAGAGAGGAGTGAATCTACTCTTGTGTGTCTGCAGTAATACAGACGGTGAGTCACCGAGCTGTTCCAAGGTGCGGAGGGGATCTGTCGAATACCCTCTACACACTCTATGCCTTCAGCAGGTATTTACTAACCTGGGCCCATAGTGTTACTTAATGCTGTCTCACTCTCCTGTCCACCACCAGTGTAAAAAGCAGAGCGTTACACACACAAGCATCTATTTTCTGTAGCTATTTATCCTGCTCAGATTCACAGGGGGTTGGAGTGGATCCCAGAAACACTCTCCACCTCCCCCACCGTTTTCTTTCAGACACACAAATTGTGAAACGCTAAGGAACCTCAGCAGAATGAGGACGTCGAATTTGACAACATGTACTGAAAGTAATGAATTAGATGTATTTCTGCTTTGTGGCAGCTAGTGTGGTAGGTTTTTCTCCAGCTAGTGAGATGTCAAAGCTTAACATATAGAGTATATGAGAAAGAATCCCTACTAATGTGTATTCTTAAACCTGTTTGTATGCCAATCAGTTTTTATGACTTAAGCCTCTTCAGTGAGAAGCAGTAGAGTATGGTGAGCATGCAAAAGGATGGATTTGTGGAAGAGAAAGCAATCAGAGTACTACTGGTTTCAGTTTGTTCAATTACTAATGTTACACGATACAAAAAAGTCTCAAGGTGAAAAAAGTCTCAAAGGAAAATAAAAGTAACAAAAGGTTTGAAGAAGCATGGTCTAATTACAAAAACTGTTCTGAAATACCTTAGGATTAATAAAAGTGCTATCCTGTATGGTCACCAGGGGGCACTATAGTTCAACAAGCTTATGTAGCAAGAGTGCCTATATACTGTACACAGTGCTGTGCTGTTATTTGACAGATATTTTGATATGATTCACAGTTAGTGGCAATGATCATTTCTACATCAATTCTTACTGATTTTTTTTTCTGATGATGTGACATTTGTTTGGTCTGTAGTATTAAAGAAACATGTTTTCTTACATTTAGAGTACAATATTAAGTAGGCGAGGGCATCTCAGCAGCACTACAGTACTTCAGTATAATGCTGTTTTTTTTTTTACCTTCATCAAAAATTTGTGCAATCATATTGCACTTTTGATAATATTTTAATTAATTGTACAGCCCTATACTAACTCTATTCTGGTTTTGAGTATGACGCATGTTTACACTAAATAAGTGACAACTATTTAAATTTAAATCATATTTAAAGTACGGATGTCCGATATTCACTATAAAATGTAATATCGGGAATTATCAGTATCGGGTTTTTATAACCGATGTTTGTTCTGTAGGC